GTTTCACAAAGAAATATTTTATTATTTAAAGTGTTTAAAGGTCGTAAAGTTTGGGAAAATTTGGTGTAACCCCTGGAAACGGTGTCGGCAACATTTCCAGACAAACAAAACTGTGTCATAAATGTTTTCAATCTTCCCGTCGACGTTTCCACTGAAGTCTGTCTGATGCTTGCAGCTGCAGGAGCAGGTCAAAGACTCGCACGTGTCCGAGATCATCGACGTGTATGAACAGAAGCTGGGCGCGTACGCGGTGAGTACATCAGGCCTAAGCAATGAACACTGCTGTAATGTTGCAGACGAGTAACCACGCAGTTTAAAAATCTGACATATGTTTACAGTTTGTTTGTTTTTAACCGTCTGATTTTTACTTCTTGAGAGTTATTTGTTGATGTAACACTGAAGCCTCTGCAGGAGCATTCAGACTTTATCTGGATTTTAGCATTTCTGTATCTGATGAAGGTTTCTGTGTGTCTCCTCAGTCTAAAGAGAGCCGTCTGCAGGACTTGTTGGAGGCGAAGGCTCTGGCTCTTTCTCAGGCCGACCGTCTCCTCGCTCAGTATCGCTTTCAGAGAGCTCAGGCTGAGGCTGAGGTAACATGTTGTTATTGTTTTTATTCTTTCCTTTAGATTTTGATAATACACTGTTTGCAGTGCCAGCTTCTTAAATGTGAGGATCATGTGCTTTATCTTTTTTGTGATGTTAAAACATAAAACAAAACATCATAACGAGCTATTTAAACTTTGTTTTTCCTGTTTTTTCTGACATTTTGTGCTAGAAGATTAATAGTGAATAAATACGTGTAATTACGATGTTTAATTCAGTCCCAGGTTGTAGTTTGCAGATGCACTGCGTCACGCTGTCTGTGCCAAATGCTTTTCTGATGTTAAATGTGAAGCAGTGTCAGTGTGAGCACCTCCTAAAGTCATTAAATTAAATCAAGCCATGGGAAAGTTCATCTTTGCTTAGAAGTTCAATCACTGATCTCGCTGTTTTTAGTAAAATCCACTTTTCCTGTATGTTAATTTT